TAATTGTTTTTTAATAAAAATTTTATTATTTTATTGAAAAAATATAACATTTCCAATTAAATTTTATTTTCTCAGAAAACAAAAACAAAATTGTGTTAACAAATCTTCGATTTCGTTCGACATTCAAAAGTAGCCTCTACAAAATGATTCTGTATACTATACCAATGATAATAAGCCAAGAAACAAATATATAAGATATTGTATTGAATACAAGATATAGTAAATGCAGCAAAAGAAATGTTATAATTATTAAATATATGATTAGTAAGCGATATAAATTCATAAGATGAACAAAATAATACAAATAAAGTAAATAGTATGTTTTAAGGCGCAGAAAAAGTGTACAAAAAATTGTCATAAAATCAAAAAAAAAATGTGTTTTTTGTTTTTGTTCAATAATTTACGAGGAACAAGTTACAAATATACAGTTATATTTTTGGGCAGCGCATAGTTCATCAAAAAGGTAGGTAAACTTATAAGGAAATCTATATTATATTTTTAAACTTAGCAATTAAACTACAGTAAAAAAAGTTGCTTAACTGGACAATATAGCATTAAAATCAATATATATGTAAAACAAAACAAATTAATCCACTTTGAAGTCAAGCAAGTACGTCTGCCAAGCGCTGAAGTCGACTTCTGGATGTGCGATACTTTGCTCCGCCACTTTGATTTGCAAAGCGTGTAAATACTTCAAATCGGTGCGATATTTTATACGCAAATCCTGATCAATGCAAATATCCATGAGTTTCAAATCGATCAAAGGCTTTGCCACACGCACGGTCTTACGCAGCTTGTTCTCCAAAGTGTGTATTTCATTCTCCATGCGGGCCAAATTTAAAAGACCACCATAGGCTATGGGCGTATAATGTACTGAATGTGCGGTGATCTTCAAACTGCTTACGTTACGTTTATTCAGTATGATTTGCATGAATTCCTTCGACGCATGCCATTTGCAGTATGCTTTTAGCGCTTCCAGTAGTAGTGAGAGATGTTGCTCACAAGAGATTTCATCTACAACTTCGCCAGCCTCCTCCATGGCAGCTTGCAGTTCGGCCTGTTTCTTATGTTTTAGCCAACGTTTCTTGCGTATGTAGTTAAACACTTTTTCGGGCGAAAATTCCTCGGCATACAAGAAGCCAAACATTTGCAAAAATTGATCGATAAATGTGTAGCGTACATATGGGATGCGTAGCACATCAATGGCGTTGATGTAATTGCCAATTGAAGAGTTCAAATTTCGATCTGTAAACAAACAAAAGTTTGTATAAAAATTTGTAACTACATTTAAAAACAAAAATAGGAACCTTTAAATTTTCGAAAGAAATCGTATATAGCCTGTTTGGTGTTTGGGCCGAGACGTGGATATTTTACGCCTAAAACCGTGTGTTCGATGTCAGCCGTGTTGCTAATGACCATCAGCAGCGAGATATAGCGCTGTAAAAATGTAATAATTTTTTATTTTTTTTTCAAAGATAAATTAAAATTTTCAACACATGCACTACGCAAATAACGCACCTCTAGTATTTTCAAATAGTGAATATTAAGTCCTTTATTTACACCCAATGCGAATAGCAGGAACAGCTGTCGTCCCAAATCGCTCAAATGAGCTTCCTCTGCTATGCCAAACACAAATACCGCCAGCGGTCGGCTGTCATTATAGAATAACCAATTTTTATCCTTACTATAGTGATGCAACATCCACATGACGAAGTCATTTTCGAGTATTTGCAAAATTAAACGCAAAACAATGAATAAACGTTCCAAACGTACTGTCGGTTTAAGCGCTGTGAATGTATTCAAGTGTGTGTCGCGCTCTTCCCACTTGCGGTGGTCATAGAGTTCACTCTCCGGTGTTTCTGGCACAACTGATCCTGCAGTTCCTTTATTTTTCACACTTGGTGTGCTAGGTTCAGCAGACCTGGATAACTCCTCGGTGTTACATTCATTAATTATGATTTCGGTTAAGTCGAGTATTATGTCGAAAACTTTCTTCGATCTAGACAAACGTTTGTCGCTGCCTTTCGATTTGTTGCTCAATTTTTCTGCGTCCAATGGCCGTTGAAAAAAACCAATATAAGCGGGGTGCGTTGCACGCCAACAAGGTGGAAATGTACGCACCATATAGTTAAATAACTCAATACATTTGTGGTATGAGTGTATGCATGTCGCGTCACCAGCTTTCGGATTGAGACTCTGTTGTAAAAATATTTTACAATAAATTACAGTCAAAATATTCATTTATTACAAAACATACCAAAATTAATTCGATCAAGTTGGTGAAAGTGTCTTCGCCAGGAAATTCATGCCGCTGACACATATCCAAAGCGAGATTCAGAAATGACAGATAGCGTTGTTGCTTTAATGTACAGCGCAGCTGCATTAACCGCGCTTCACTTGGTTTGACCATTTCACTGAAACGTTGTTGGTAGTGTTGTTTGCGACAGTACACCAAATCCTCAGCGCAGCGTGGCGGAAACTCTAAACACAACCGCTGCACTGAATTCAAATATAAATTAGAGAACAACGTGGTCAGCTTGTCTATGGAGTCTGTCCTGTGCGTAGTTTTGCTTTCTTTGTTGGTTGTTGTTTCAGTGGGCGTTTGTGCCTCTGTAGCCTCATTTTGAGATTTCTCAATACTGTTTGGAACATTTTCACTTGGCTTGGAATTTACGTCTTCGACTGCAGGTGACTGTCCCACAGCTGCATTACATTTTACTGCTTCCATACTTTCATTATCTTTATCCACAACCATTGGTACGTTTGCGGTTACCAGTTCAGCATCAATTTTCTCTCTACTTTCTGTTCCCTTCGACCCATTCGTCTCTAATCGGCCTACTTTTTCAGGTATTTCGTCACCATCCTCCGCATTTTTCTTATTTTCATCAGTGGTTTTACGCCTCCTAGCAGTGGGTCCGACAGCCTCCATTGTATTTGTTTTCCTGTTTCCACTTCTGGTGCGTCTGCTAGTCACAGTTTTGGTTTGGGTAATCTGCTCAGCTATTAAGTTCCCTGTTGCTTGTATATTGATATTTGAGTTTGAAGAGCGTAAAGTTCTCGGGTTTTGGTGTGTTTTTTGACTTTTTATAGGTGATTTTAAGGAAATATCTTTACTTTTTGTCGTAATTGATGATATTACAACTTTCTTGTTTTTGCGCGGCATTGTTAGAAAATATAAATAAAAGCAGTGCTGCCAGCTAATAAGGTATGAAGGAAATAAGACGCGGTTGGTTTATTCTTTAATAAAGTAAGGTTTTAAATATATTTTGCGTTTACTTTTTATAAACAGCTTATCTACAAAGCATATTATTTATTACAACGGTTATATTTTACAAATTAGTATAACTTTAGAATAAAACAACAATAATTTGGGTATGTTCAGTGTGAAAATTAATATCATTAATAAAAATGCATACCGGCAACACTCCTTTTTCTAATATGCAGTTTACACCAATGTTATGCAGCGATTTACACAAAATATTTATAATTTTTCCAGCGTACGGCATTACTCCGAATGAGTTATATCAGTTGTAGAATAATAATTAAAAAAAAAAAAAAACATTAACCCTGTGAGACAGGACTTTAGGAATCCTCAGAAAGTAAACAAATGTCCGAGATGGTCACGTGGCTGTAGCCAGATGCAATTGAGGAAGGCACAGACATGTCAGAGTATCGCACTTCTCGGACTTCTATAGGTTCATTCTTGATGTCCAGTATCGAAAACGTACATAGTGAGGTTTGCATGCTCCTGGTTAAGAAACATAATGTAATCATATTCAAGCAGCCTTTCTCTAGTACTGTGACAGTCTTTAACATGCTCAATTTTGGTTTCATCCATTCCGTTGCCGTAATTTTGATGTCTAAGACGGTCCATGATCTAGAATGTTAATTGTCGAAAATTTCAATACAGCAATAGAAACCGTCAAACCCAAGCACAGCGCATTTTGATGGTTCACTCTTTCATTTTAGCTCGCTTTCAAACTGATATTTTTTGAACTCCCAGAGGATACTTGGTCTAAGACCAGAAGTAGTCAGCTGTGAGCAAGTGATTGGCGCTTAGAGAAATTTCTTCACTGAACTTCTACACATGGCTCATAGTTCAGCAAATTAAGAGACAGCGGCTCCCCTGGCTAGGTCATGTCGCCCAAATGTATGAAAACACTCCAGCTGTGAGAGTATTTGACGGAGTATCCGCCAGGGGAAGCAGAGAAAGAGGAAGACCTCCACTCCGTTGGAAAGACCAGGTGGAGAGAGACCTGGCTACATCTCCAAATGGCGTCAAATAGCTAAATATACTCGGATAAAACCGCGTACGCGGTGTCTACGCCAGTAATGAAAAAGAAGAATAGAAGCAGTCGAATCTTGAAAGTCATGTAAGCTTGCTTCCATTCCACATTTCCCTGTGATCACTACTAAATCGCAAAAAAATCGATCCATTTCTGAAGCGGATGACTACTAGTGATGAAAAGTGAATCACTCAAGAAGGTTTTTCTTTGTATTTTTTGGAATTTTTAACTAATCATCTGAAGCGGATGACTACTGGTGATGAAAAGTGAATCACTCAAGAAGGTTTTTCTTTGTATTTTTTGGAATTTTTAACTAATCATCTGCTAAGAGTTATTTCCTTACGGTCAAACTCTAATTCGAAGCTGTATTGTCAATAATTGGATCGTCTGAAGGCAGCAATCAGCCACAGAAGAGGAGTTCTGTTCCATTACGGCAATACCAGATTGCACACATAAAGTGTGACACGCAAGAAGGTTTAAGAGCTTGGTTAGAAGGTTCTTATATATCTATTTTATAGGTCGGACTTGGCACCAAGTGATTATTATTTGCTTTTGTCTATGGCGAATAAATTTATTGGTGAAATATTCATCTCAAGCGAAGTTTGTGAAAAACAACTGCTCCAGTTTTTGTCAAGAAGTTGGAGATTTTCTATGAGATTGTAATTATGAAATTACCTTCAAACGATGAGGCAATCTTTCGAACAAAACCATGCTTATTTGAGTTAAATCAAATCATTCTAAAAATGAATTAAGTTTTACTTGTGCTTATAATATATAAATGCAGCATCAACTTTCTTGATTTCTTAAGTTTAATCGCCGCTTTTCCACATTAAGCTGCCTTTGCACATTTGCCTCACCACGTACCCCTTGGGCATAAGCAACCCTCATACACTGGACCCACAGTCAATAACATATTCTGGAGCAAATTTTCAGATTGTGCAAATAATAAAAATAGCTGTTGATCAACAACGGACAATGATCGTTTTACAATCCTTTGTGGTCGGTAATTCTTGTTTTCGTTTCTTGCGAAATAGTCACTCATATGCGGAGCTGACAAAAAACTGTAACAACATTATAAATTGAAACGACAATTTTGGTACTCATTAAAGGTACTCCACATGTGGAATCGAGCGAATTGCCCGACACTACCGACAGACAGCTACAGTGGCGTGTACATATGTACATTTTTGGCAGCAATCAGCTCAGAAAAGCAATCAACTGTCATTGGGTAACTGTAGCAGCCGGCACCTGTAACGGCGATTGCAACCGCGTTTGCCTGCCTAACTGCGCTTTTGCCTACAATTAGAACATGCAGTGGTAGAGCACCACTTCACACCATAAATAGTTACTTTGTGGTTGTTGTTTAGTTTTTTGTGGAAATTGTCATAAATTGAATAATGTCTCAATTAAAGCCTTATTACGAGACTTTTAACTGCATTTAGCAGTTATCCGTTGGGTATTTAAATTGTTATGTGCAAATATTTACTTGAATCAATTTAGCAGAGAACATATTGGGTGTGTACAGTGTTCCAAAGAATGCTTGTAACTGAAATCTGCATAGATATGCTAGAGGTCGAGACATTTCGATGAACACTTGGTAAATGTTAAATGTCTCTCAAGCGGAGATGGCTGCCATGAAAGTATTGTAGTAGTAAATCGACTGCTCCGGTGCGCAGTCGTCTTCAGAGTGAGAGAGAGAGAGGACAGTTCTCTTCGTTAGTAGGACAGCGATATTAGCTTTGAGCTCGCTGAGTGCTCAGATTACTATCTGATTAGACTGTTTTGGGTATCTAGGAACTGCGGGATTGCAGGAAACTGTAAGTTTGCTGAGCTTCGTAGGGTAGGTACTTCAGGAGCGGGTAGGAACTCCGTTTGCAAGCGTTGGTAGACTACCAGTCGCCAGGTCCTTCTGGCCCAGGATAATTCGTAAGAGGTCCACGAAACTCTTCGTTCTCAGCAAGGTCTAACTTTCAATTGTTGGACTCTAACTAGACGTTGTTCGAACGGGATTTTTGCAAAACGTAAGGAAAACAGACAGAAACGTAAGGAAAACAAACAGTACAGAGAGTAGGTAGTATTTATATCAGTGGCGCTCTTAGTACAACGCCAACCAGGCACTAAACGTAATTTTACAATTACTGCCAACAGATTTGTTTTGTAAGCAAATGGCTGCAAAGTCGGCTCTAGGACTACGGATATTCTCCCTATTAATCGTCAGTAACAAGGGACATTCTAAGATCCTTAGAAAATTCCTATCACGGATTTTCAAAATCCTATAGTTTAATTTAAATACAGTCTAGATATTGTCTTCTCTTTCAGAAAACATATATATGAATGGGTCCAGACTAGACAATCGAGTTAGAGATCGTGTCCTTTGTGCAAAACTAGATACAACAAGTAAGATTTTACATTTTATATTTTATTTAGAACATTTTATACTCTCGCATCGAATACCGTATTTGTGTAAAGTTTTATTCCGCTATCATCATTGGTTCCTAATGTATACATATATTATACAGAGAAGGCATCAGATGGAATTCAAAATAGCGTTATATTGGAAG